GCATGTAAAAATGGTGAAAACTGAATAAGGTCTGTAATACCGTGTTTCCCCAAAAATAACACAGGGTCTTACATTTATTTTTCCTCAAGAAGACACCCTAGGGCTTATTCTCAGGGGATGTGTTATTTTCCCCTCAAAGCCTCAGCTTGCAGCACGCACAGGATGGCCGGGACCTGACAGGGGGAGCCGGCCTTGTCGGTGGGGCTGCCCGCACCTTTCCGGTCACCTCTGGCATGGTAGCTGTCACGATGGGGCAGTTGAGGAGGGCTGCTCATCTTCTTTACCGCTCCGTGACAAAATGCATGGGTTGTGCAGAGGCACTGCGTAGCCACGCCCATCACTAGGGCTTATTTTGGGGGTAGGATTTATATTGGGCAAATGCTTAGACATCCAGCTGGGGCTTATTTTATGGGTAGGTCTTATTTTCTGGGAAATACGGTAGCAGGTTACTAATGTTACTAATTTTCCTGGTTTTGCTACTGTACTACAATTGTATAAGATGTCAGCACTGGATGAAGCTGGAGGAAGGACACGTGGAACCCCTGGCAACACTTTTGCAACTTCATATGAGTCTATAATTATTTTTTTTAATTTAATGAACAACTCATTTAAAAAAAAAAACAAACAATAGCTGTTACCATGGACACAGGATTAGATCAGAATAATCCTGATTTGTGAACGGACTTAAGCTAGAGAAGGGCCTGGTGGGTGGACCTTGGACTCCCCTCTGAAGAAATGGAATTCTCGTTGTTAATTATCCCAAGCAGCTCATTCAAAACGGAGAATGAGGCAGACTTTGAGGATGGCGGTAAGAGGGGTACTCCTGGTTCTGGGCCCAGATGTGGGGTCTGGAGAGGCCCAGAACACCTCCACTAGTAGGAGGAGTTGTCCTTGATCCCAGGTAAGAGGCCGGGGAAACCCCCTCAAAGAAGCCTGGGTTTTTCGATGACCTAGGGGACTCCAAGTCACTGTAATTTAAAGAGTAAAGGAAAGATGTGTCCTCATTTTGTACCCTGAAACTAAGAAAGGGAACATTCTGGTGACATCAGCATAGCCTAGAGATCTGAAAGTCATTTGATAACCTACCATGACTGATAAACTGAAAACCGATGGATTGTTTTTCATGACGACTTTGGCCGATTGTATTTTGGAAAGGGGCCACAACAGTATCTCCCACGGTACACGCTCTTCCGCAGTGTGACCTTGCCACTCCACCATCAGTCTATTTCTCCACTGTTGATCATGGGAGATCCCAATGACTACTTAGACCAACTAAAGTGGAAGTGACACCATTCCAGTTTCAGGCAAATGCCTTAACCAACTGGCACTTCCTCTGCTTCCTGCCTCTTATGATATTTGCTCGGGGAGAAGCCAGTACCAGGTACGAAGTATGACCACCTTGAGACCGCCATGTTGTGAGGAAGCCCAAGCTAGCCTTGCGAAGAGACTACATGGACAGAAATGCCCCCTAAGCCTCTAGTTGCTCCAATCATCCCAGCCCAGGCATCGGACATGTGAATGAAGACACCTTCAGTTACCATCTGACCAGAGACCCACCCAGCTCACTCTAGTTAACAGCCAGAACGGAGAGATCTAACAACAGATTAAGTCACTCAGTTTGGGGCTGGCTGGTAGGTAGCAGGAGATGAGTGGAACAGTGAATGTCTGAGACAGGAGGACCTCTGCTACCCACTGACTGGCAGCCATGAGCTTCCTGAGTTCATATTTTAACAGCCGTCCATCTGTTACTCTGAAGGAGTGGGGGATAACCTTTTGGGCAGACACAGGTAAGAGATTTTTTTTTTTTAATGGAAAATTGCCAAGCCCTTCGGAGGTCCTGATGGCCCAGCCAGGTCGGCAGCTGGTGACGAGGACAGAGATGTGTGTTCAGTCCATCTGGTACACGTGCAGAGGACTGTCCTACAGGCCATGACTAAAGCCGGCTGCCATCAGATGGATAGACACACACTCTGGGAGGACACGGATTGTACATCAGAGCCCGTCCCTTATTTCAGAATTGTAGTAACAATCACCATACCTACCACTTGCTAGGCCTTCACCATAGGATGTAAGCTTTCATTGCTTAGCTTCACTGAACTAGATAAAGTGTTTGCTTATCTCATTGATTTCTCTTAACCACCCCCAAGAGGTTGGTACAGTCCTTATCCATTTATCCCCATTCTACAGAGGAGGAAAACTGAGGCACAGAGAAGCGGAATCACTTGCTCGCAGTTACACAGTTGGTAAGCGGCAGCGCTAGGATGTGACTTCAGGTCTGACTCCAAAGCTGATTCTGTGTTGAAATGGCACCCGAGTGACGTACTGATTATAATGTTTTAACCTGTGGCAAATTCAGGAACCCAGAGATGATGCCCACTGCTCAAACTGGACAGTGGACGGGCCAGAGTACAAGGATGGCTGACTCGTGTTCCAAGGCACCCCCAAGAAAGACTCTGGAACAAGGCTCTGGTTTCACACGGAGGTCAAACTTCTGCCCAAATCAGGGTGCTGTGGGTTGAATCTATCAAAAAAGCTCATGTGTAAGCCTGTCACCTCCGCACTTCGACCTCTCGTTTTGCAGACACACACAGCTGCGCCAGGGGGTGTGCACAGGAACACCCGCCAGAGCTTTGCTGGTAGGGCTGAAAACTGGAAGTGGCCTAAGAGCCCAGCAAAAGCAGAATGTTCAAAAAAAGATGGTTTGCTCGATATATCTGATGCTGGTAGAAGGGGTGCTCAGATCTCCATGTGTTTATATCGAAAACCCTCCAGGGCATTTTGTTAAATTACACTTTAGAATAACCCATTCAGAGTGGTGTTTATTGGCTTGTTTGTTTTGGAGACAGGGTCTCCCTCTGTCACCTGGACTAGAGTGCAGTGCTGTCATCGTTGCTCACTGCAACCTCAAACTCCTGGGCTCAAGCAATCCTCCTGCCTCAGCCTCCTGAGTAGCTGGGACTACAGGTACTCACCATCTTGCTCAGTGAATTTGTTTTTTGTTTTTTGTAGAGACTGGCTCTCACTATGTTGCTCAGGCTGGTCTCAACCTCCTGGCCTTAAGCAATCCTCCCACCTTGGCTTTCCAAAGTGCTGGGATTATAGACATGAGCCACCGTGCCCTGCCCAGAGTGGTATTTATTTATGCATCTTTAAGATATATTTAAATGTATGGAATTTACAGGAACAGTTTGTAACACTCTGTGCCCAACAGATAACAGTAGCATTCCCTTTAGGGAAGAAAGGACGATGTTGACAAGTACAAATGAGGCCTCTTGCATCTTACTATAAATTCTTCTGATTGTTCCGTATTTTATAACATTCATGTAGTACTCAAAATAATCATCTTCTCAGATCAAATCAGGGAAGGTGAAGTGGGAGGAGGATTCTGAGATTATTTTTTTTCCAGGGGACAAGACCCAATGCCACCACTTGGGGGGCCGGGAGCAGAGTCTGTCCCTTCCTTTCTCTCCTCGAATTTCTTTTATGTTCTTTCCGTGTTTTCCCAGGCAGTTGTGTGACCATCCAGGGTCTTCATGGATAGTCACACGACTTCTCATAAAAGGTGGGAACTCCTGGAACCAAGACATAAGTGGTTTCCTTTTTGGATGGGGAGGGGATGCACAGCTGTGATCAGATTCTCAAAGGAACAGCTCCACCCTTGGCAAACTGAGCAGCAGATTGACAAACTACCACTGAATGAATGAACAAAAGGGATCTCACCCCTTCCGAAGCCTAATTACCATTCCACTGCAGTCTTTTTTTTTTTTTTTTTTTTTTTGAGACAGAGTCTCACTTTGTTGTCCAGGCTAGAGTGAGTGCCGTGGCGTCAGCCTAGCTCACAGCAACCTCAGACTCCTGGGCTCGAGTGATCCTTCTGCCTCAGCCTCCCGAGTAGCTGGGACTACAGGCATGCGCCACTATGCCCGGCTAATTTTTTTTTTATATATTAGTTGGCCAATTAATTTCTTTCTGTTTATAGTAGAGACGGGGTCTCGCTCTTGCTCAGGCTGGTTTTGAACTCCTGACCTTGAGCAATCCGCCCGCCTCGGCCTCCCAAGAGCTAGGATTACAGGCGTGAGCCACAGCGCCCGGCCTCCACTGCAGTCTTAAGTCAAAGAGAGACAAGACCTGCCTTGGACTGATGGCTCATCGGGAACCAAGCACCATTGCCAATGTCACCTGTTAGGGGTTCCCAATAAAACTTGTGAAGTTTTAAACTTCCCTATTTCACAGATGAAGACACAAAAGTGTTCTAGGCCCCTGTTGGTCCCTCAGCTTTTGGAGACTGTGTGGCAAAGGGTTAACTCAGCAGGCTTGGAGTGTCCAAACCCTGTACATTTCAAAGACAGGACTGGTCTTCATGGGCTCCTGGAAGTTACCCTGTAAGCCCTTGGAATGTGCCTCCTAACAGGGTGTCTTTACATAACTAGGGGCTTGGGCCATGCCAGACCAGACAGTTTGTGCCAATAACGTGATGGTCTATGGTGGCGGCCTTGGGTCACGCTGCATCGTTCTGACCTCGGAGGGGCTGGTGGTGGAGTAGCTAAGGTCGGTCGTGTGGTTGCCCCATGCCTATGTGACTGACCTCAAAAAAAAAAAAAAACCTGGACAACAAGGCCGGGATGAGCTTCCTGGCGGGCAAACTTTGTACATTGTTGTCACACATCGTTGCCGGGAGACTTAAGCACATTTGTCAGAGTCCACTGGGACAGGACAACTGGAAACCTGGCGCTTGTCTCCCCTGGACTCCGTCCTATGTACCTTCTTTCTTCTGCTGATTTTGTTACCTGTATCCTTGTGCTATAATAAACAACTAACTGTGAGTCTAACAGCCCTTTTGCATCCTTCTAGTCAATCACTAAACCTGAGGGTAGCTTGGGGACTCCTGACACGCTCAGCGGTGCCTTGCATGGACCTATATTCTCTAGGTTTTAGTTGTCACCACTCTACCTGGCAAAACTTGGTAAGAAAAACAACCAAAATCCCCCTATCCACACCAGTAAAGTAAGGCAGAGAAAATGAGTCGCTGTTCACTTTATTCAAATTCATGTATTTTTTTCCTCTGTGAAACTGAGTAGAACCGAGGAAGAATCAAAGAAAGCCTCATATATTAAATTCTTAAATAGATTCTTTGAATTCAAAGTAAGGGTCAATAGGAGAGGCACAGGTTGTGGGCCTTGTCCCAGCAAACAAAGCCACAAGGGCGGTCCTGCAGATTAAGGAGGACGGCAGATCCCACTTCTTAAGAAAAAGTTCTTGAGGGGAAAAAATATAAAAGACCTAAGTTTCAAAAGCTGGACTACTTCCATACTCTTTCCTCTCCACCCTACAGTGACCACCGATAGAGAGTTTCAAGGTATGTTTTCAATGATTCAACTTTTGCAAACATATGCAAATACATTCCTCATTAGCAGTCCTGTTTTGGCAATTAATTGCAAGCAATATGCTTGGATTAGAGTTCCGATTTCCATTCGAAGGCGGTTTCTTCTCTTCCTGGCAACAAAGCCATTTGCAGAGATCTGAAAGGAGAAGATTGCGTTAGGCCGAGTAACAACTCTGAAATAGATCCTTTATATTTATATGTGTGATCGCAGAACGTCTGGTCTTCATGCATTCCCATAAGCATGGAAGGTTTTATGCGTGCATCCCAGATGGCCAGAAAGAATTGAAATTTAAAAATGTGTCTTGGGTTCTTATCCACATCTCAATTTGCATCCATTTGACCTCAAAGATATGCTTTTTTTTTTTTTTTTAAATTTATGAAGAGGAAATGGCCATGATTATGTGAGAAATAACCAGTGAATGTTTGGAGGCAAGGGAAGGATCAGTGTTTGTTCAAGGCCGATTTCATATCAGGGATCAACAACACGTTGACAGCCACACCAGAAAAACATTTTTTTCCGCTTGGGGCCATGGTGCTTTATTACGAAAATAGAATAAAAACTTTGAAAACAAAATGATCCTTTCTGCAGGTTGGTGCAAAGTGAATTTAAAGCGAAAACTGAAAAATGTGCTGTTTATTTCAAAAGAGATTAAAGAAGCTAAAAATAAGAGCCCAGGCTAGAAGCTCAGTTTCAATAGAAAATAACAGAGAAAGTGCACTTAGATCCCAAAGTTCTATTTGGTTCAGAAGAAAAGACCCTCACCTTGAATTCAGCCTTTCTCATGTTTCTGTCTCACCCTAACCCTATTCCCTTCACTAGCTTTCTAGTAGAATCCTGAACCTTCTTGTTGATTAAAGCAGATTTATTCCTCATTTTATTGTTTAACACATGAACTGTCATGTGAGTTGTATTTAACTCACGCTAGTGTTGAGCCCGGGGCCTCGTGAAGTGCATGTAACTCACACGTCTCTTCACCTTGGGACAGACGTTGGCAGCCACAGAACTGTCTTGATATTTTCTATTGAAACTGAGCTTCTAGCCTGGGCTCTTAGTTTTAGCTTCTTTAATCTCTTTGGAAATAATCAGCACATTTTTTTAGTTTTCGCTTTAAATTCGCTCTGCACCAACCTGCAAGTTGCTTCTGCCCTTGAACCTGATCAGAGAGGCAGGGACAGCAGGAAGTGAGCTCACTCGGGGAGCCTTAACGCAGTGCCCACGTCCACGCGGAGGACTCTACAGTTTCCAGGCATTCCCGCCTGGGCCGGCTCACGCCACCTCAAGACCACCCTGGGAGGTGGGCACTGACCAATCTGCACCCTCCAGGCATGGAAAACGGAGGCTGAGAGATGTTAAACCTGCGGAGTTCTTAAATCTCTGAAGGTCAAAGTCTCTTTCCCTAGCCCACAGGAAAATATGGATGGATAAACACGGACTTAAAATTGTTCACCGAAAGCAAATTCTAGGGGAAGATGACTTTCAGGGGGAGATTGTGCCACTTGGTGGCTGTGTCGCCTGAGGCAAGTCAAAGCCCTTATCTGTGCTTTGGTTTTCCCTTCTGTAAAATGGGACAATCATGGCACCTGCCCCCAAGGACGCTGAGGGTTAAATGAGTAACAAACAAGGAGTCCTTGGCCCAACGCCATGGAGGTTATTCTTAGAACAGAACTACTTGCCACTATTATTACAACGTTAATTGCTTTGGGCCAAAGCTAATGCTACTTACAGAAGCCAGACCAGCAGAGAGCATTCTGTGCAAAAATGGTTCCAGAATCACTCCCCATCACAGTGGTCCTTCCTGCCCCCTCCCCAGTGCCAGGCAAACTTCTTTCTGGCTGGTTCTGCATCCATCCCTGCCACTGTCCTTGATCCAGAGCTAGGCGACTAAGCCTTGGATTCTATAAATAGCTCCCCTGGCCTGTCGCCATGGAAACCTGATGGGGCTGGGACAGCCCACCCTGGTGGACACTTCTCCCCAGGGAGGCCGTGGAAGGGCAAGCCTTTCAGAAAATCACCTCCCGGGGCTAGAAGCAGCCAGGAGCCCCCAGTGAAGGCCATAGGCCTACCTACCTGGAAATCACGAGCTTCCTAAGGGGGAGGAGGTGCCGTTCCGGTTCACCTGCAGGAAGATGACACACAAGAGGAAGAGGTGACGGCCAGGTAGGGGTGCCTTGCTGCCCTGAGCTTCAGCCTCAGCTTCCCTGCGTCATGCACACACTCTCATTCGTCAGTATTTACTGTGCACCTACTATGTGCCTGGTGCTGGGAAGTTGCCACGAGCATGACAGAGCCAGCCCTACGCTCACAGAGCTTACATTCTAGCTGGGGATACGAGTGACAGGTGTTGGCACTACTGCAGATACCACGGTTAGGAGGGGACTCCATATTTAAGATGACATTTAAGCTGTGGTGTAATAAAAAAAATAGATGGGGCCTTTGTCCCCAGTTCCTGGCACACAGCTCCCTAAAACCTTTAGGATGCACGCTAGTGGGATCACTAGGGGCAGGGTGGCCTGATAGCTTCAGGATGGGGGCTGGTTCCCCACAGGACAAACACATGATGAGAGGGTTGGAACTTTAAGCTACATCCTCAACTTACCAGGGAGAGAGAAGGGCTGGAGATCGAGCCAGAATAATGAGACCTCCATCAAAACCTCTAAATGACAGGGATTGAAGAGGGGGCTGGGGAACACAGGGAGATGCTGGGGTGATGGTACACCCGGAGACGGCATGGAAGTTCCTGACCCATCCCCCACGCCTCACCCTATGCCTCTCTTCCCTTTGGCTTTTCCTAAGTTGTAGTCTTTGTAATAAACAGGTCATAGTAAGTAAAGTGTTTCCTGGAGTCCTGTGAATTGTTCTAGTGAATTAGCAAACTGGGCTGGGGGCGGGACCTCCAAATCTGTAGCCGGCTGGGCAGAGGCACAGGTGGCCTGGGCCCCCATTGCAGCTGGCATTTGAAGGGCAACGATCTTGGGAGACTGAGCCCTCAACCTGTGGGGGCTGACGCTCACTCTGGGAGTCACTGTCAGAATGGAATTGAGTTGTTGAGCATCCAGTTGGCGCTGGGACGACCAGAGAACTGGTCGTTGGTGTTGGAAATCACGGTAAGCCAACAGCTCAAGGATGAAAACTGGGTCAGCCATGCGAAGATCTGGGTAGAAGAACATTCCTGGCAGAGGGAAGCAGGGAGGGTAGCTGGAACCTATGGAGTGTGCATTTTTGCATCCATTGCAATTATAATGGATGAGATACTTTGTTTTGTTCTCTTAATATTTTTCCCCTTTTGAGTTTCACTGGTACCATTTTTTTTTTTTTTTTTTTTTTGAGACAGAGTCTCACTCTGTTGCCCAGGCTAGAGTGGCATCAGCCTAGCTCACAGCAACCTCAAACTCTTGGGCTCAAATGATCCTCCTGCCTCAGCCTCCAAAGTAGCTGGGACTACAGGCATGCGCCACCATGCCCGGCTAATTTTTTCTATATATATTTTTAGTTGGCCAATTAATTTCTTTCTATTTATAGTAGAGACGGGGTCTCCCTCTTGCTCAGGCTGGTCTCGAACTCCTGACCTTGAGTGATCCTCCCGCCTCGGCCTCCCAAAGTGCTAGGATTACAGGTGTGAGCCACCGCGCCCGGCCGCACCATTTTGGATGGCTACTACCTAGTGTTCTATGGAACACATGTGTTCTATGGAACACATTTACTTAATGGCTTCTCTAAGACTGTTTCCAGGCATTTTTTTTTTTTTTTAGAGACAGGGTCTTGCTCTATCTCCCTAGCCTAGACTGCAGTGGCATGATCATAGCTCACTGCAACCTCAAACTCCTGGGCTCAAGCGATCCTCCTGCCTCAGACTCTCAAGTAGCTGGGACCACAACGCTCAGCTAATTTTTTTACATTTTGTAGGGATGAGGTCTTGCTATGTTGCTCAGGCTTGTCTAGAACTTCTCAAGCGATCCTCCCACCTCAGCTTCCCAAAGTGCTGGGATTACATGCATGAGCCAGCAGCCACCACACCTGGCCTTTAAAATATCTGGAAGAATGTCATGTACACTGTGTAGAACAGCGGGACAGGTGAGGGTGTAATGCAGGGGCTTGACACAATTTATCTGCAGGGCAGCCAGCTACACATCCTGTGTGTGCTGTACCTGCAGGGAAGTGGAAACTGGTCTAACCCTTTTGTAAAACACTTGTGGATCAAGAACATGCAAAAGATCCGAGCCAGGCACTGTGGCTCACACCTGTAATCCTAGCACTCTGGGAGGCCGAGGTGGGAGAATCACTCAAGGTCAGGAGTTCGAGCCCAGCATGAGCAAGAGTGAGACTCCGTCTCTACTAAAAATAGAAAGAAATTATCTGGACAACAAAAAATATATAGAAAAAATTAGCCGGGCGTGGTGGCACATGCTACCTGGGAGGCTGAGGCAGGAGGATCGCTTGAGCCCAGGAGTTTGAGGTTGCTGTGAGCTAGGCTGACGCCATGGCACTCTAGCCTGGGCAACAGATTGAAACTGTGTCCCTCCCCCCCTAAAAAAGATCCGGACCCTTCCACCCACTAATTCCACTTCCTAAAAATGTATTCTAAGGGAATGACTCAGCAGAGCACCCTTACTCCATGGGAGAGGCAGAGTCAGGATGCTGTGTATATGACATCATTCAGGACACTGCGGAAATTGGAAACGATCTTAGGGAGGCAGTTAAGTGAGTGGTGGCACGTGCTGCACTCCACGGAACACCGTGTAGCCCGTGAAACCCCAAAGATGGAAAAACATTAAGAAAGCAAAATAAAGCGGCTCATACAATGGAACTGCAACTCACGCACAAGTGCATATTCAGGTGAGAAAAGAAAAAAAAAGGCAACATGCAAAAACGAAGAGTTTTGGATTGTGGATAATTCCCCTCCCCCCCACTTCTGTTTGTCGTTTCTTGCATCATCTTTTCGGTTAAAAAGTAATAAATCAGTGCTCACTAATCCTGGCCATATTTTTAGATACACAGTGGCCAGAGAGGGGTCTCTGATCACACCCGCTCCTCCACACACTGCTCATTTGCTAATTCACGAGGACAACTCATAGGACGTAGGAAAAGGACTTCACTTTGAAGAGTGCGGGCCTGCCCAGACAACTGGGAAGTGCTCAGAAGCTGTGGTCCCTGGCTCTCGGACCCCGTCGGCTCTCAGACCTACCCTTTGTCACATTAAAGACACGCACAGACTCACACTATTACTAATAATTTTAGCGCCATCCCTTCGTTTAAAAGGGGGCATTTGAACACCAAAAGGAGGCCAGCTATGATGTCGGTGAAGGGCCAGCTCATGCTGTGTGTCAAGGGTCCCCCTCTGCCGACAATGACAAGGGACAAGGTCCTCTACTGTGGACACAGAGGGGATGCTGGGGAGGCTGGGGGGTGACACACGTGGGCATGCCAGAGCATGTGTGTGTGTGTGTGTGTCCACATTCGCAATATACAAGCATCACGTGCCCCTCGTGTTTCTAACGTCCGGCACGTGGGTGAGAACGTTACGCTGGGTTGTTGTTTAGACACTTTGAATAAAACTGAATTTAAAGCTGGAGAGAGAAAGCGCAAGAGGAAGTCCCCACGAAGACCCTCCCCCAGCTGCATTCAGGCCACAAGACAGGGCGACAGGCTTCTCCCGCAGAAGGCCCGGTGGGATCAGACACTTAGAGACCCTCGAGCCAGCCGCCACTCGCTGTGTAGGGCGGGGAGACTGCCGGCCAGCGTGGGGGAGCGAAGCGTCCGTGGGGACATAGCGAGCCGGGAGAAACAGGGTTCTCCTTGGGGGTTCTGACCTGAAAATATCCTTTCAGATTGGCTGGTGTTTTGTAGTCGCCTTTCAAGACCTGGGCAACAGAAAAGAAATACTAGCATTACAGAAATGACTCAAAAAATGAAATTTTAGTCCATGCCAACAGTCCCTTCTCCCCATCCACACATCCATCCCTCCAACAAACATGTGTCCGGCTCCCGTGCCAGGCATTGTTCCAAGTGCTTCGGGGTACCACGTTAACCAGAAAATTGAAATTCTTGTTCTCCCTGAGCTTCTGTTCTAGAGAGCGCACCAGACCGCCCACAAGGGACAATCAACACAGATAAACGAGGACAGAGCAAACCACGGGCAGCGTTATGCAGAAAGTACGACAGAGGGACTTCTCCATGCATGGATGTATCTTCAAGGCAAAGCCACAGGGAAGATCAAAATGGGTGTCTGGCACCTGCCAAGACTTGTGGAATCCCCCAGAGAAGAAACCTCCTTGGAAGAAAACTAGAAACATCTTCCAGGTTAAAAATCTCTGAAAGAGCTAGCTGATCTTGACCATCAGCGCTCATTGGAGTTGTTTATAAAATACACAAAGTCAGGCCTTATTCTAGGAGCTTCTTTTTTTTTTTTTTTTTTTGAGACAGAGTCTCGCTTTGTTGCCCAGGCTAGAATGAGTGCCGTGGCGTCAGCCTAGCTCACAGCAACCTCAAACTCCTGGGCTCAAGCAATCCTTCTGCCTCAGCCTCCCAAGTGGCTGGGACTACAGGCATGCGCCACCATGCCCGGCTAATTTTTTCTATATATATTAGTTGGCCAATTAATTTCTTTCTATTTATAGTAGAGACGGGGTCTCGCTCTTGCTCAGGCTGGTTTCGAACTCCTGACCTCGAGCGATCCGCCCGCCTCGGCCTCCCAGAGAGCTAGGATTACAGGCGTGAGCCACCGCGCCCGGCCTCTGGGAGCTTCTTGACCCAAAGTCTGGGACAAACCAGGATCTTCCACCTTTTAAAAGAGACCCTTAGGGAGCCAGTGCTGGGGCCCTGGCGGGATTTCAAGATCGTTGCCATCTTTTTCCTTTTAATCCAGGTGATTCATTTTTTTACTGTGACAACATATGTACAGAAATATATATAAAACATGTAAGTAGAGTTTAAAGAATAATAATGACTGTTACTACTAAAGAATAAAAGTAAAATAATAAAAAATAAACCACATCCAGGTTGCAAGCGTCAATACTGTGAACACAGCCTGGGTATGTGCATCGATCTCTGAGTATTTCCATAAACAGGCGTCTGCAGAATCAACCGGCGTCCCCGGAAGGAGGAACGCGTGAGACCCAGGGACGGGCTTACACGCCAATCACAGGGCAGAACCCTGAACGTGCAGCGCTAGCAAGTTCTCCTTGTTGGAGGGGCACTGAGGACTCAGACCAAAGGGAGACTTCCTCCTTGAGCCCAGAAGAATTAAAGGAGAACCAAGAGAGGCATCCCTTTTCCCACCGTGATTCAATACAAGAACTGTTTCACTTCCTAAACTCAGCACGTGTTCAGAAATGCTGAGCTTAGCTTAAATTAAGCCTCTGGGTCCCAATGACATAAGGGCTAGGAGGGCTAATCCTTGGGCCTGGATCCCATTGTCAAATATTTTAACTAACTATAAGGAAGTCAGAACACAGGCCCCGAGGTAAACTGGAAGCTGTGAACGCAACACAGAAATAAGGCCGTGAACTTGCCAACTGTTCTTTTACCCGGTGATTTATATGGGCCTCCTTTAACATTTCAAAAACATTTTGTTAAAAGTCATTTCCCTTGACTACTTTGACTAAGGAGAACTTAAAAAGTAATTCAAACAACCCTAGGCTCATGTTTGTTTGAGAAATGAATATTGAACCGTGTGGGACAATACAGGGACCAATTATTTATTTATTTATGTTCACTCTCAACAAGGACTTGAGGTGCTTCACAGATAAACAAACAAACAAACAAACAGCCAGGGAAATAGTAGGGAAAAAAGTAAATGAGAGCAGGGAAATAAGATAAAATGAGTGCACAAGTGGGCCTGCTGTTAAGAGTATGAGACAGGCTGCCAGTTGGCTTTGAGCTTCCTTGCGGCCCAAGCAAAAATGGAAAGGCTTGCAGTCCTACAAGTCACAGTGTTCCATCAGAGGGAAACAAACCAGATGCTCAGGAATGAAGGGACTAAATGGGTGGCTCAGGTAGCTGGAGCTTCCACCCCTGCCAAAGCCCCGAGAGCACATCCCCACGTGAGTGTGGGCTCCCGTGCACACTCACCCGGTGCGTGTTGTTGATGACGATGGGGTCGGGGTTGCCATAGTTGGGCGGGTTTGCGTAGGGGTCGTAGCCCAGCCGAGCCAGCATGGGGGCGATCTGGGCCATGTCCCGCACCACGTCCGCAGGGATGTGGCCCGTCCATCTGGTGAGCGCTTCCAGGTTCACGGGCTTGATGACCTGGTCCGTGGACCGCTCAATCCTGGGGAGACAGGGCGGGCGGGGCGGGTCAGGGTGGGGCTGGACACCACTCTGGGGCCGCGGGAAGGGTCGGGGAGACCCGGCCTCTGCCCAGCTCTGCCCCCATCAGCTGTGGGACCGCAGGCGAGCCACTCTGCCTCCCCACACATGCTCGGCACCATGGGGACGAGAGCCCGTGCGGGAGCCAGGGAGGACACGCTGCCGGTGCATGACTCTTGCTTCCTTGACTCCCATGGCTTCGTGAAAAATAACTTCTCTTTTTTTTTTATTGAGACAGAGTCTCACTCTGTTGCCCTCACTAGAGTGCCATGGCATCAGCCTAGCTCACAGCAACCTCACATTCCTGGGCTCAAGCGATCCTCCTGCCTCAGCCTCCCGAGTAGCTGAGACTACAGGCACATGCCACCACCATGCCCAGCTAATTTTTTCTATATATTTTTAGTTGGTCAATTAATTTCTTTCTATTTTTAGTAGAGACGGGGGTCTGGCTCTTGCTCAGGCTGGTCTCGGACTCCTGAGCTCAAACGATCCACCCGCCTCGGCCTCCCGGAGTGCTAGGAGTACAGGCGTGAGTCACCGTGCCCGGCCTTAAAAAATAACTTTTAATGTGTATTACTAACATGGATATTTTATCCTTGTGGAAAAAAAACCCCTATAAAACATTAACAGTAATGCTAAAAGTCCCTGTGGTCACCGCTGCCGGTCCATCAGCCTCCTGCAGGTACCCAGCCTTGGCGTGTTGCAGTGCACGCTCTCAGTCCTTGCCTATAAAGCAGCGGGCACTGAGTCCAGGCAGACTCAGGAGCCAGGCTGCCTGGGTTCAAGGGCCAGCTGTACTAGTATCGGCTGTGTGACGTTGGGAGAGTTACTTCACCTCTCTGAGCCTCATTTTCCTCATTGATAAATGGGACTGATAATAGTACCCAGCTCGCTGGGCTGTTCCGAAGAGTACGTGAGTTAATACGAAGTGCTTAAAAGAGCAGAGAGCACACTGTGAGCTCTCAACGAGGGTCAGCACGTGCACGTACACCTGTGCTCGCTCTTTTCTCTCTCCCGTCCCTCGCCTTCTCTCATCCATGCACTTTCAAATAACTGTGCGACATGTATTGCCTACAACTTTTTTCCCCCCACTCAACCAAACCTCATTCTTTTTTCCAGCTGTGTAGCATTCCTCTATAGCTTATTTTTCCAACCATCATCTCACATGTCCTTTCTTGAACAGGCTGACCTCCCAAGCCACCTGAACGAATGTCTTACCAACTGTAATGCAGGGGCCTTCTAGGATTGGGGGGCATAGGGAGCCCCCAGGATCAAGGGCATATTTCTAGATGTTTCCATCCCAACTAAAAGAAGAGTTGGGGAGAGAGGAACAGAAACACGAAGAGGCGGCAAAAGGAAAACATGAGTGGGGGCAAAGTGAGGAGGACTGGGGAAGGAGAAAGGGTATGGATTGGTGGGTAGAGCGTGAATTTGGAATCCATAAACCCAGATTTATTTATTTATTTATTTATTTTTGAGACAGAGTCTCACTCTGTTTCCCAGGCTAGAGTGAGTGCCGTGGCGTCAGCCTAGCTCACAGCAACCTCAAACTCCTGGGCTCTAGCGATCCTCCTGCCTCAGCCTCCCCAGTAGCTGGAACTACAGGCATGTGCCACCATGCTTGGCTAATTTTTTCTATATATATTAGTTGGCCAATTAATTTCTTTGTATTTATAGTAGAGATGGGGTCTCGCTCTTGCTCAGGCTGGTTTCGAACTCCTGACCTCGAGTGATCCACCCGCCTCGGCCTCCCAGAGTGCTAGGATTACAGGCGTGAGCCCCCGCGCCCGGCCATGAATCCAGATTTAAATCTCACCTCTATCCTGTGTGCATGGCTTTGGCCCAAATCCTTGTGTCTCCGGGACAGAAATGATGGGGACGCATCCCAGAACACGAGTGGGTGCAGTGCTTGATACGTGTCAATACAACTAGAAATAACCGCAGTGCCTGGTAGGTAGGAGACTGGCGGGGACCGGCCATGGGGGGCCGCCCTTCGGCTGGGCGCCCAGGGATTGCGGGGCCCGGCAAGGACGGGAACACGCAGGGACCACACACACCGCTCCAGGGCTCTGGGTTCAAAGTGGGACGGCAGCTTCTCCAGAGACGGAAGGCAGAGAACAAGGGACAGAGGGAGGCAGGGCGGGGAAATGAGAGGGAGGATGGGACATGGGGTCCTAGACGTGGAGAGGTTAACAGCACACGCTCTGAAGTCCAGCAGACCTGGGTTTGAATCCCAGCACCGTGCTTTCGTAGCTGTGTGACCTTAGACCGGTGACCTCTCTTCTCTGAGATCTAGTGTTTTCATCTGTAAAATGGGGCTAAGAGTAGTTTCTATGTCCTTGGGTTGCTTCGGGGATTAAAGGAGAGAATATTTGTTGGAGGCTTAACCCAATACTCGCTATATAGTAGGCACTCATTCAGTGACCATGATGGTGAGGATAATGAGTATTCCAATAAAAGCAGTGACAACACTAAAATGATTAATAATAACAGTAATAATAGCACCTAACACGTATTAACCTATTTGATGTCCACAGGTATCTATAAGGTAGACTGAGTATATCCCCAAGTTACAGATGAGGATTTGAAAGCACAGAGAGGTTGAGGCACTTGCCCAAGGTCACACAGCTGAGGAGTGGCAGAGCAGGGATTTGAACACAGTCTGGTTCCAGAATCTGTGCTCTTACCCTTTACCCACTATTGCCTTACTGCAAAGCATAGTCAAAGTTGGCCGATTCCCTCAGAAAAGAGAGTAATAATTGTTACCCTACTCCCTCTTTTTTTTTTTTCAATGAAACTGAGGCTCAGAGAGGCACGGTGACTTGCCCAAAGCCGCACAGCTTAGGAGAGGCGGAGCAGATCCTCCCACCCGGGACCGCGGACTCCGGGGCGGAGGGTTTCGGTGGAGGGATGAGGGCTCACTCACTTGGACAGGGAGACACCGCCCGGCTTGCCGATGAGGTCCTCGTGGTGCAGCACCGCGTCGCTCCAGGCGATGCCGAGGAAGTCGAGGATGAGCTGCAGGGAGCGGTGGGGGTGCAGCACCAGCTGCTCGTAGTACACGGGCAGGCACTTGTCCTTGCCCACCTCCATGCACTGCGCGTACATCACCTCGATGGCCTTGTTCCACTTGGTGAGGCAGTCGCGGTAGCTGCTGAGGTCGAAGCCGGCGATGGTGACCTTGCGCGTGATCATGGAGTGCACCGAGGCGCGGCCGTCCCGCACCATCAGCAGGAACTTGGAGTTGGGGAACAGGCCGGACAGGTAGACGGAGGACTTGAGCGTGAAGGGGTCCTTGTTGCAGAGCACGCGCGCCGGCTCGCCGTGCTTGGCGATCACCTCCAGGATGAAGGCCTGCATGGCCGCGTCCAGCACCTCCTCCGTCACGCCCGCCTCGTCCAGCCGCTGCTTCTCGCGGCCGGACCGGGCCCAGGCCTGGCGCATGGCCAGCACGCGCGGGATGATGCGCGTCTCCTCCCCGCAGCGCACCTCGGGGTGCGCGTCCAGCATGGCGCGCATCAGCGTGGTGCCGCTGCGGGGCACGCCGCCCACGAAGATGAGCGGCATGGCCCTGCCGTAGCGGTACTGCACGCGGTCCGCGCCCACCATCACCAGCTCCTCCTGCTCGGGCCGCATGGCCCGCCGCGGCCCGCGCAGCGCCGCGCGGCACTCGAGCGCCTGCTGCCCCAGCTGCGCCGCCAGCACCAGGGCCAGCGCGCAGCCGGCCGCCAGCAGCGCCCTGCGCACCGACAGCCGCATGCCCGGCCGCGCCAGCGGCAGCCCCGGCCTGGGCGCCCGGCTGCGCGACTTCAGCGACGACGGCGACGGGCCAGGGCCCGGCCCGCCCTGCTCACATCTGGGGAGAGAGAGAGAGACGCCCGCAGTCAGGCGCTGTGCCCGCCAGCCAAGCGCCCGGGCCGGTGACAGCAAGTGGCAAACGTGAGGACCCGCGCACGCTCGCGCTGCCTGCAGAATGGCAAAGCCAGGACCCGGTGACCGAGGGCGGCCTTCCGCAAGAGAGCCTAGAAGACCATCATAAGCAGGAGGAGCTCAGGTTCCACGCCTCTTGGTGAATCACTGCATTTTTAATAAAGATGAGTTCATGTCCCCCACCACCCCGCCCCTGCTCCTTCCTGTAAGTGCAGCGACGTCTGGCGGGTTAATGATTACGCCCGTAACCTGCACCCAGACGCAGACTCACCCCCGGACCCCACGGGACTGCTCTCTAATGGCCCTTCCCCGCACACGCAGAGCCTCTGCCACCTGGCATTTATAAGCTGTGCGCAAAACTGCCTTGGAGCCGTTTACAGGAACTTTCTGGAAGCCTCCTCCCCCAGGCTGCAGTCCTCAGTGAGACTTTGAATGAAACTGACTTTAAGTCTTTAAAAGCCCGATCTGTTCCTCTAGTTGACAAAACCCCGATAACAGCAACGGTGACCCCGCAGACGCGGATGGCAGAGCACATTTCGTGGGCACCTGTCGCGTGCCTGACGCTTCGCCTGTCTCAGCTCAGGGGGTCCTCCGGCAGCCTCGGGGGTAGGCGCCGTTGTCGCCCCAAGGGACTCCAGACCTAGCCAGCCCGGACTCAGGGACGTTGGCAGCTTCCTTACGCGCTCGGTCTCACCTGATAAGTGGAGACGCTCATCAATGTCACAAAATCTACTATCGAGGCACGGAAACTGGAACGCCAGGTTCCAGCCGCAAGTCCGTCCCGGGAGGGCAGGGAGCATAAGTCCCTGTGCCGTCCGGGCCGTGTCCGCGCCCGGCGCAGGCCTGGGACGGGGCGGCTGCTCAGGAAGTATTTAAGGGCTGCGCCTCGGTTGACTGAGCAGGGACAGGGCAGAGTAAGTGCTACGGACTCATCACTGTCGGGAAAGGAGGGAACCAAGGCACAGAGCGGCTGCCCACAGGTGCCCAGCCGGAAAGCAGCGGTGGCGCGGGGCCCAAGATTCGAACCCAGACCAGCCGGCTCTGGCACCTGCTGGGAATCACCACGCCCTGCCGCCACGGGAAACGCTTCCCGGAAGAAGGCTCGGCATGCCCTCGTCTAGACTTCTTCCAGAATCATCACCCATCGGTCTATTCCTCATTCAGTAAGTGCTTACTGAGCGCTAAAAGGGGCCCGGCACCGTGCTCGGTGCTGGAGACGGGAGAGTGGACAAGACGGCCAGGGTTCTCAGCTCAAGGAGCTCCGGCCCCAGCGAGGGAAGCGAATCACACACGAGGTACGGACAGACGTGGTACCTGCTTTCCAGGAAATGAACCAGACACCGTGAGAGCGGTCAAGAGAAGGAAAGAAAAGGGAGGGTGGTCAGGGAGGGCTTCCTGGAGGAGGTGGCATCCAAGTCGAGACCTGGATAAGAAGGAGCCGGCCATGTGAAGATGCGTGGGAAGGGTGTTCCAGGCAGAGGGAACAGAGAGTGCAAAGGAAGAGAGGGTGTAGGGTCTTTAAGAACCTGAAATTGCCGGGCGAGGTGGCTCACGCCTGTAATCCTAGCACTCTGGGAGGCCGAGGCGGGCGGATTGCTCGAGGTCAGGAGTTCGAAACCAGCCTGAGCAAGAGCGAGACCCCGTCTCTACTATAAATAGAAAGAAGTTAATTGGACAACTAATATATAGAGAAAAAAAAAACTAGCCAGGCATGGTGGCGCATGCCTGTAGTCCCAGCTATTCGGGAGGCTGAGGCAGTAGGATTGCTTGAGCCCAGGAGTTTGAGGTTGCTGTGAGCTAGGCTGACACCATGGCACTCACTCTAGCCTGGGCAACAAAGCGAGACTCTGTCTCAAAAAATAATAATAATAATAACCTGAGAGGCGGCTGCTGAGCCGGAGGGGAGGGAGAAAGACGGGGAGACGGGTGGGGACACAGGTCCTCAGGGACAGGGCAAGAGCTGGACTCTCTCCGCAGACAGCCCCTGAGCGCAGGGCCTGCGAGGGTAAGCGTGGAGGCTGGGGAGACTCCCGGAGGCTGGGCCTCTGGACGTGATGGGGAACAAGGGGTGAGGATGACGCAGGAAGTGAGTGACGACCCTGAGGGTCAGACTCGATGGCCACTCACCAGGCGAAGGGTTGTTTCAAAAAGCAAGGGCCCGCCCGGCCCGCCGACCCCCTCCTGCCCTCCGAGCCCCCCACGGCCGCCCAGCTCTGCAGGCCAAGACACAGAGTTTTGTGCCATTACATATGGCATGCTCGCTCTGTGAACGCACTTCCCAGGCATCATCCGAGCTCAGAGAGGTGAAGCAACTTGCCCAAGGCTGCACAGCAGGCGTGGCAGGCCTGGGCTGCGCCAGAAGGTAACGGCACAAAGCGGGCAGGTCAGAGGTGAGCAGAGCACAGCAGAGACCTGGGGGGTGGCTTGAGAGGGAAAAGCAGGGTGACTGGGCAGACAGAAAATGGGAAACTCATACAGCAGAAGGCGGTTTCTTGGTCGCCCAGAGCCAGGGACCCCACTAGAGGGCCCTGCCCGGCACCCCTGCCACCCTGCTGGACCCAGGCAAGGGAGGTGGCCTGGCATCCTGGCAGTGAGGATGGTGGGTGAGCGCTTCCCACTTAGAGTCCCGTAGGTTCAAATCCCACTTGTGCCCTTTGCCAGCTGGTGACTTGGAGAAAGGGCTTCACCTCTCTGAGCTTCCATTTTTTTTCTCCCCCCAAAAAGGAATGCTAATGATCTTTTCTCATGGGGGCGATGAGGAGGGTGTCAGGGAACTCTTCGTGAGGGGCCGGGCCAGCCCGCGGAAAGCACTAGCACCGGCGAGACGGGACACCGGAAGGTCTGGGCGCTGGCTGTGCCTTGAATCTGCTCCGCGAAGCCACGGGGGACTGTGGGGGTCCCCGAGTCTGGATGCACTTACCTCCCCGGGACAGTCTCATCTCGGAGCTCCGGCCCCTGCGCCTGCTCAGCAAGGCCGCCTGCCGGCACAGCCCTACGGACGCAAAGGAGACGCTGCGTCAGGCAGGGGTGCCTCGCAGAGGGGCTGGGCCCCCCGGAGAGGTCTCAGGCTTCCAAGGCCACTGGATGGTGCCATCTGGGGCGAAGCTTCAGGGCGGCTCTGGAGAAGATGCCACAGGCAGGGGCCGAACCCGCCTGTTCCCGCAAGGAATGAGCCCGCTCGTTTCTCAGGCAGAGTGTCCTGAGCGGAGAGCCCGAGCTAAGGTACGGCCGCCTGCGGGAGCCCCCGGGTCTCTGCCAACAAGGGCTGTCCCTTCCTCTTGGCCTGGGGACCTTGGACTTCAGGAAAAGTAAATATAACGATATGCAGCCACCACCACCACCACACCACTGTCAGCACACTGCTGGGGACGGCTGACCAGGTTGTGCACTGCACAACCCTAAAGGGTCCCCTATTCCCACCTACAACGAACATGGTGCTCCCTGGAGTTGCGGAATGTCCTGCCACCGTCACCTAACACGGATCCGAGGTCTGCTATGCAAGGGCCTGGTATCATTAAACCCCACTGAGAGGAAAGATGATGATCCGGATTTTACAGATGAGAAGACATGACAGCAAGAGGAAGAGCAGCCGACAGAACCAGTTTCGCCTTCTAGATACGTGAGACTCCGAGGCCCAGGAGGAGAAACCATTTTAGAGACTCACACACCACACTGAGCGTGATCCTCAACTTCCCTCCTCTCAGCCTTGTCTCAGGAGGTGGGGATGGTTCGCCCACTCCTTGCATCTACACGCTCTTTTCTATTCTGGAAATATCGGCCCAATCAGGACATCAAAACCCAGACGGAGAAGGGGCCCCAGGTGCAGCCACTAGCCCCGAGCTACAGAATCCTCAGGCTTGGCACGCCCTGAGCGCGGGTGGCCAACCATGTCAGCCCTGCCCCCGCTGGAACAAATGAAACCGATTAGGGACCGGGCACTTGAAGCCCTTCCGGAGGCAGCATGGCTTGGGCCCAGCTGCCCTCAGGCGGTCCTTGAAATGCCAGTGCACCCAAGAGGCCTGCCAGCCGGGCAGCCCCCGCGGCCCCGGGCCCGGCCTCCCCCCTGCAGAAAACACAGGCCCTTTCAGAGCGCAGGGACGGCTGCCAGGCCGCCGGTGTCGCAGGGCTGCGTGCCCGACACGCAGCCACCAGCTGCACACACGCAGACGCTGAAATCCGACTTAGGCGACATCTAATAAAATTGAAACTTCAGCTTGTCGTTCACACTGGCCACACCGTTTCAGTGCCCATGTGGCAGCCGCATGTGGCCAGCGGCCGCCGTACTGGATGGTGCAGGTCTAGCCCGGGGTGGGCAGACGATGGCCCTCGGGCCAAATCCAGCCCACGGCCTGTTTTCGTGCGGCCCTTGATGCACAAATGCGGTCTGTGCATTTTTTCCAGGAAAGAGACAAAAAGCACACACGCACCACAAAACCTGAAACGCCCGCGCTGCACGTTGGCAGACGTCTGCTGGCCTCTGCTCCCGGCCTTGCGGGACATTCTGCGGGACAACGATGATGAGGGGACAGATGAGAGGGAGGGGTGGGCGTGGAGGAACAGCAGTAACAGTGGCTAGCATTTATTAAGCACCACTGTGTATTTAGCACCAAACCAAGGGCTTTCCGTGCATTGCCTCACTTCGTCCACATCTCAGCCGGTCACCATGCTCGCCACCTTGCGTGGGTGCGGGGTGAGCCGCCCACTGCCGGCCTCCCGTGCCCCAGGAGTGCCGGGCCTGAGGGTTCTGGAGCTTGGGAGTGCAAAGCAGAATCGCCAACTCAGCCAAGCCAACCAGCAAACAGAAACCACAGGCAGGAAAAAAGACAAGAAGGAAATGCTCAAAATGCTGCCAGCAGGGGTGGTGCCTAGGTGGTGGGTAATATATATAGTGATACATATAATTTTTTAGAGACACAGTCTCTCTCTCTTTGTTGCCTGGGCTACAGTGCAGTGATGTAATCATAGCTCACTGCAGCCTCGAACTCGTGGGTTCAAACAATCCTCCTGCCTCAGCCTCCCGAGTACCTGAGATTGATTACAGGAGTAAGCCACTGTGCTCATGCTCTCTTTCTATATGATAAAATAATAAAGTGATTATTTTTTTTTTCAATTGTATGCCAGGCATAGTATTGGCCTAGACTGCTTGGGTTCAAATCCCGGCTGCACCAGCTCCTAGTTGTGTGACCTTGACAAGTCACTTAACCTCTGTGAGCCTCAGTTTCCTCATCTGTAAAATGGAGCTCATGATACAGATTGAGTATCCCCTAATTTGAAAATCCAAAATCTGAAACGTTCCACATCCAAAACTTTTTTGACTGCCAACATGACGTTCACAGGAAATGCTCATCGGAACATTTCAGGTTAGGAATGCTGAATTGGTAAGTAGAACGTAATGCAAAAATTTTTAAATCCAAAAATATCTGAAATTCGCAACCCTCCTGGTCTCAAGCATTTCAGAGAAAGGGACACTCCACCTGTAATCCCTCCTGCGAGGGCGCTTGGCTTGCCTAGTGCTGGGAGGTGCAGAGAAGTTAGGGCGCGTTAGAACGCAGCCTGGCCCGAGGCCTGGCTATCTGTGTCGGAGCTTGTTTTTAGCAGAGCCTTCTAAAGTGGGGACTTTCTTCTTTTCTTTTTTTTTTCTTTTTGAGACAGACTCTCACTCTGCTGCCCTGGGGAGAGTAGAGTGCAGTGGCGTCACTGTAGCTCACAGCAACCTTAAACTCCTGGGCTCAAGCGATCCTCCTGCCTCAGCCTCCCAGAGTAGCTGGGACTACCAACGTGAGCCAAGACACCCAGCTAATCTTTCTATTTTGTAGCAGAGACGGGGTCTTGCTGTTTGCTCAGGCTGGTCTCGAACTCCTGAGCTCAAGCGATCCTCCTGCCTTGGCCTCCCAGGAGTGCTAGGATCATAGGAGTGCTAGGATCAAGGTGGGGGTTTTTGTCCCTACTTGATAAGTGAGGAAACTGAAGCCCCAAGAGATGAAGCGATTAACAAAAGCCACACAGCTAGTTAAGAGGAAAAGCCAGTTTCCTGACGTGGCTCTGTCCCCAAGATGCCATGCTTGGCAAGGCTCGTAAGACAGGGGCAGCAGGATATGATGGGTGGGGACTTTGCTCCCTCTTTGTTGACTCATGAGCTCCCCTGAAGGGAGGGAAGGAGAGAGGACTGCTCAACCTAAGAGATCCCCGTAGGTCCAGCTTCATTCGTTCCACCAATGTTTACTGAACACCTGCTATGTGCCGGGCATGGCTCAAGACACTGGGATCTGTCAAGGGCAACAGACAAAGGTCCTTGCCTTCGTGGGGCTGACACTCTAGTGGGGAACGAAGAAACTGGCACGTGAGACAATGACACCATTGATAAATGCTCAGGGGGAAAAAAATGCCCACGACAAGAGGTGCGGACATTCCACATGGGTGACATTAACACTGAGGCCACAGCGATCTGGGTTCAGATCTGCACGTCCTTTCTATACCAGCACAGTCTCCCCAAGCTCAGCCGACCGAGAGGTTCCCGAGAACACCACGGCGGGTGGGGAGGGGTCTGGAGGCACACAGAGCCCGCGACGGAGGCGGGCCACTGCACTTACAGAGTGGCCTCAGACAGGGGCTCGGTGCCCACGCGCCCACGCTCAGCCATCAGCCCTGCAACCCCTCCCCGTGGGAACCGGCTCCCAAACATTCCATCGCCGCGGTGACGGCCACCCCTGCCCGGCCACACTGGCCCGCCACGCCCAGCCCTCCGAGAGCCAGCGACAGAGGGCAGCTCTCTCGGGCAGGGCCCCTGGGAATCAGAGACCTCGGCCCGCTGCGGAGGGCGGCCGGCCAGGGGACGCCTGCCAGATCCCAGTGGGATGAGAGGAAGGGAAAAACTAACTCTGAGGTTTTGACCGCTGCTTGAGCATCAGAAAGCACGCAGAGGGGTTCGAGAGGGAGGAAGGGTGGGCGGGCTAGCGTGTGGCCTTAAAAATATTAGCTCGTACTTACTGAACACTTGTGGTATGCCAGGTACCGAGCTCAAGGTTTTCCATACACCATTGCATTTTGTCCTCAAACACCCCTGCCATGACCCCATGTGACCCTCCCTTATTAACCACCCACTGCCTGGGGCTCAGAGAGGTAAGGTGGCCCGCCCACGGCCACACAGCTAGCAGGCAGGGGAGCCAGGACGAAACCCCAAGTCTCTCTCTTTCTCTCTCTTTCTCCAGAGCCCCTGCTCCTAAATCTGGGATCTCCTCCCTGACTTGCTGCTTTGCATTTTTTACCTAAAACCATCAAAGCAGGGCCCACCCCCCATGGTGCCCCAGTGTCCTCTCTGGAGGCCCAGTTCAGCACTCCGTGAGGCCCCAGCTGCGGTGGGGACAGATGAGGCCAGGAGGTCACATCCCAGCTCCGCTACTCAAAGGCTGTGTCCTGGGTCACTCGGGGGGGCAGCTCTCCGAGCCTCAGTGTTCTCATCTGAGAAATGGAAATAACACCTGGAACAGAGTGCCACAGGGAACTAGGTAACTTCCATCCAGCCCGGCACAGAGTCAACCTGCAAAACTCATTTACGATGCGTGTCACGACGGCAGTTATCAGGGCTCGGGGACAAAGACAGGAAGGGACGTAAACAAACCGAGGAACCTGTGTCCCTCGGGGTGCTCGGGTGCTGAGTGCCTTCTTGGCCCGGATCTGTTTCCTAACCTTTCCACGACCTGTTCTATCGTCTCCATCAGGGACCGGCGGGAATCCTCCGCAAGGGCCACAAAGCCCACGTTCCTGGCTGCACGGCCTTTGTCGCGACTACTCGACTCTACGGCCCCCGCGCACACGGCCACCGATGACACGCGAATGCTCGTGGCCGGGCGCCAGCAGGACCACTCCAGCTGTATACATATGGTCACTGACTGCCCCCCTCCCCCAGTTTGATCTGCAGTCACACATAGACCAGGCAGGCAGTGAGGGACGGGGACAGGCACGGGACAGAGTCAGGGGGCTACGGAGCACCAAGCTAAGGGCATTGCAAACCTGATTCTCCCACCAAAAAGTGAAAGAGAGGCCCGAGGACACCCCATTTTACAGATGAGGACTCAGAGGTCGGGAAGGCTAAGTTCCCTGCGCAGCCCCACACAGCTGAGAGGAGCAGTGGAAAGATCCAAGCTGAGACCTGACTCCGAAACCCTGGCGCTTAGGAACTGAGCCGGCGTCACCTTTGCTATGAGCAAGCCCCCCCACCCCAATTTCAAGACCCTCCCTCGGGGCCCTGTGGGTCTGAGGGAGGGAGACACACATGCACAAGCCCCTGGGAGGGGACAAAGGCCCAGCCTCCCTCTGGGTGTTGCAAGAGGACATGACTCAGCCCCGCCTCTGTCCAAACACAAGACCCTTTTCTCAATCGCCCCGACTGTGGCCTGCAGGGCACGCCCAGGCCAGCCTGGAAAAGCGAGCAGAGGAGACAGGGCAGACACGCCCTGGCCCGCGGCGGGGGAGTGGCCCTGCAACCGGACGTGCCTCTCCCCGCGAGGGGACTCAGCTTCCCCATCCCTGACTCCCAGGGGGACGATGAACTCCATGTCTCCCTCCCCTGGACCGCAACAGCTAGAACCTGTCCACCGCCGCACCCCCAATAAGCGTGCTGCAATGCCCCACACTCCCAGCTCTCTGCCCTGAGCCAAGTGGTGACCTTGGAGGTGGCTCTTAACCTCTCTGACGCTCAGCGTCCCTGCCCGAAAATAAGACCACGTCACTAGGCTGTTGAGAGGGCTCGATGGCCTGCGGTGGCTGCGGCAGGCAGCCCAGGGCCTGGCGCCCTTAAAGTCGGAAGCCGCTGTCTCCAGTGTCCCTCAAAATCCCCCAGGAGGGGCCTCAGGGGTGTGCGCTCTCTGCCCAGCTGAGCCAGCGGGGATCCCACCAGCCTCTAGAAAATTCCCCGCGGGCGGGTGCTTCTCCTGCCTGGGAGAGGCTGTTCCGAGCAGGTCCCCTCGCCCTTTCTCGGGCCCTCCCAGCCACTGCAGGCCACCTCGACCCCCTCTCGTTGGTCTTCCTTCTGTCCTCCGCCAGCACCCAGCTCGCTCTCCCCCTCAAAGGCACACGGCAGCAGGAAAACACAGGAGATGCGGCACACAGCAGCAGGAAAACACAGGAGATGCGGCACACAGCAAGGTGGCCCAGTGGCCAGCAGCACAGCCGAAGGGCTCGAGAGGGGCTGGGGCCGCATCCGGCTCTGCCGAGGATGGGCCCTGAGACGTCACCCAGGCAGGCTGACGTCGACAGGCTCAGTTTGCTCATCTGTAAAATGGAGCTACGCTGCCCGCTTCGGAGGGTTGCCACGACGACGAGTGATGAGTCACGCGCTCAGGGAAGGGCTTGGCAGAAGGAGGGCGCGAGTAACTGCCGGCTATTAATTTCTCATCATCTCTAATTAGGGATAAACATTCCACAGCACAATATAATGGAACCAGATCCCCGTAAGGCATCCAGGGTAAGATGTGTCAGGTGATAAAAAGGTTATCGGATTCCATTCTGGTAAATATTTATGTCGGAGGGAAAAAAACATCTTCAGAGAGAAACACCCTAAAATGTAAACTGGGACTTCATAATTTTCCACTGCATTTTCCGGATGTCCCCACTATCCGACAGTGGAGGCGCAGCAATGGTGTGATGCAAAAATAAAAGAATGGCAAAGCGAAAGTGGGGTGGTTTCTAGATTGGTCACGTGACTTTGGGACCTTGAGCCCTGGCATTCAGAGCCAGCAGTGACCTTGGAGACAGCCCCAGGCAAGCCCAGGAAGGACACCGTGGCCAATACCGCACAGCGAGGAGACGGCCAGGCCTGGGCTCTTCCTGCCCACCCACGGCCTCCTCTGCCAGCCTCACGCGGGCTCGCTCTCCTAACACGGTTCGGCAGGGCGGCCTCCAGGTTAAAACGGCGGCTCTGGGGCCAGGCGCAGATCCTGGCTGGGCTGTGAGCTACGAGAGCTTGAGCAAGACACTTAACCTCTGTGGGCATCACATGCCTCATTCGTAAAATGACAATCATACTAGCAGCAATGCCACACGGCTTTTGTAAGGCTTAAATGAGATATTCCAGGCGTTTAGTACCATGCCTGGCAAATAGCAGGTGCTCTAGCTCCCATTATTACTATTACTATTATTAGTATTTGGAATCTAGCTATCGTAGGGAGAGTCCTTTGTAGGGCATGCAATGCTTACCCAGCAGGCAGAGGAAGGAAGATTTAGACTTGGGTACTAGGGAGCCATAGCAGGTGTTTGAGCAGAGGGTGAGCAGCATGACTTTGCAGCTGCATAGGGCTGGCAGCCAGTGCCCACCCACAGGGAACATCTCTGCCAAGGTCCTCCCTCTCAGGCCCCACATCCCTGGCAGTTCTCCCAGTGCTGCTGTGCAGAACCACAGCACAACTCCCACGGGCTACCTGCCCTGCCACTGCCAGTCTGGCCTGCTTCCTGGGTGCCAGCTGGGCTGGTGAACACCAGACAGACAACAGGCTGGGGGGCTTGGAGCAGCCCACGCGGCCTCAGTCCATAGGTGTGATGACCGAGAGGCCCAGAAGGCCATCAGAGGCTGCAGGGTGGCAGAGGAAAAATGTCCCCAACTTCAGAGTCCTAAAGACTGGCTTGCAAGCAAGCCTAGCTCCTGCTTTGCTGTGTGGCCTCAGGAAAGTTGCTTTCCCACTCTGAGCTCCAGTCTGCCCTCATGCAAAGAGGGTCTGAACTGCTTCCATGTGCTTAGGGGCTGCTGGAGGGACACACCACAGCAAAACAACACGGTTTCCTCTGGCTGCTGTCCTTGTCCTCTAAGAGGTGACCACAATTGGTTAGTTTGGAGGGGAGCCACCCACACCTGCTTTGTCTACGAGGTTACGGCCAAATACACATCCGAATGGAAATTACATAGACCCTCGCTCCCTCCCTCCCATCCTTCCCTCTTCTCTACTACCCTATCACCAACAGTTCCCAACCAGGGGCGATTTTGCCCCTCAGGGGACAATTAGCAATGTCTGGAGACAGTTTTGGTTGTCACAACTGAGGATCACCTGATGGGCAGAGGCCGAGGCAGGATGCTGCCAAACATTCTACAACGCCCAGGTGGCCCAGCCACCAAGAATCACCCAGCCCCGAATGTCAGCAGCACCCAGGCTACCAAAAAGTCTTGGGTAACACGTAGCCTGCGGAACCTGGCTTGGCTCACTCAACACTAGGCCCTTCCATGTCAGTATTTGTTCCACCACCAGTAAAAGTTGCTTGAGCACCTACTGTGTGTCCGGCCCTGTTCTAACACGGTGACCACGCCAGCAAACGATGCAGGCAAAGCCCCAGCCCTCAGAGGGCCCTAGAAGACAGGACGCGTCAACATGCAATCTGCAAGTCTCCGCAGATCTCCCTCCCTCTTCTTACTCGCTCTAGAGGGGCCCCCAGAGCACCATTCACTTAGCCAAGGCCTTCCTGATGGACGCTGAAGCTGCTTTCATCTCTGATGCAATGACACACCTGTCACAAAGGAACATGGCCCTAGTGCCCCTGCGTGGGAGGTGCCCCAGGGCCTTGCTATGGTCTCCAAGCAGCAGGTCACCTGGGGGCTGGCCAGTCCCATCCCGGAGGAGTTTTCACCAGCTCGCAGGCATTCCCACGCACATCAAAACCTGAGAAGCACAGCGCGAGGCGGCTGCCTGCAGGCGGCTGTCTGGCTCTCTGTTCCCATTTCAGCAGCGTGCCCTGCAAAAGACCCTCCCAGGCACGGTCTGCAGGTTCCCCTTCCACACAGATCCGCGTTGTCGGACGCTGCCGCCTTTGTCCAGCTGACGATTCCTCCCATTTTCCAGATGCAGAGACTGCGGTCAAGCTAAGTGTCCAGACAACCAGCACCAGGGGCCGACCCCTATAAGGCCTCTCCCAGCTTTGACTTTTAGGATTTGGCCACAGCCTCGTGTCTGCCATGCCAGGTTCCTGCCCAACCGCTCTGGCTCTCAGAAGCTGCCTGCGGCAGGAAGGTGGAAAGGTGACAGCTCGCCTGGCAAGTGAAGGGCAGTTTCTGGGGGAGGGGGGGACTCGGTGGGCCGGACATCAGCGAGCGCCGCCGGTGAGGCTGCCCCGTGCCCGTCCCTGTCCAGCCCGCGGGACGGAGGGCAAGCCTGCCCCACCATGCCGAAAGGGGACGCCAGGGAGCCATGCCGAGGAGGTAAAGGGCTCCGGAGCCGAGGAGTGCGATGGCACCCCAGCTGCGTTCTCACCAGCTGCCAGTCTTAGCCTCAGTTTCCTCCCCCTAAAAATGGGCTCGTACCATTCACTGCAGGAGGCGGCAGTGGGGACTCATGTGCCGTGCAGGAGCTGCGTCTGGAGCCCTGGCGGGGCCGTGCCGTGTTGCTTCACTCAGCGCAGTGCAACCTCGTCCTCCCAGCAGCCACCTGCGGTCCTCCCAGCAACTATCTGTAGTCCTCCCAGCAACTATCTGTGGTCCTCCCGGCAGCCACCTGTGGTCCTCCCAGCAACTATCTGTGGTCCTCCCAGCAGCCACCTGTGGTCCTCCCAGCAACTATCTGTGGTCCTCCCAGCAACTATCTGTGGTCCTCCCGGCAGCCACCTGTGGTCCTCCCAGCAGCCACCTGTGGTCCTCCCAGCAGCCACCTGTGGTCCTCCCAGCAGCCACCTGTGGTCAGCACTGTTATTCTCCCCACGTGACAGATGGGGAAAGTGAGGCTGAGAGAGCTGCAGCGAACTGCCCTCGATAGGACACCAAGACACGCCATGGGAGGGGCGGCCTTGGACCTACAGAGTCAGCATTCCTCATCTGAATTCCGCCCCTGCGGAGCTGGGTGACCCTGGGCTAGCTGCTTCACCTCTCTGAGCCTCTGCTTCCTCAGCACTGAAAGGAGGACACAATACAGAGGCCAGACAGGGGGAGCCGCCCTGCAAACAGAGGGCACCATATGCAAACCCCCTCTGGGGCTCCATGATGCCACCCTCAAAACACCCAGCCCAGGAAGTCTCATCACCCCTCGGCATCTCTGATCTTTCCTGAGGTCTCCGTGCAACATGACAAGGCCATGCAAAGCTGGAAAGCCACTTGCTCAAGGGCACACAGGTGGTGAGTAGGGGAGAGCAGGGCCGGGCAGCAAGGGGTGGGGCGGCAAACCTGAGTGGGTACAGGTGGGGGGTGTGAGCGCCCGGCTGAGGTCTCTCCTGCTGGCTTTTGGCTGGGAGGCCTCTTTTAGGGATCAGGGCTCAGCCCTGGGACTACTACCCGCCTCTTCCTCCTCCCCAGCCTGGTCCCCGGCGCACACCTGTGCATGGGAGCAGGCCCCATCTCTCTGGGGCCTCGGGGCTTCTCTGAGAGGCTGTGGCTCAGGCCTTCGGGGCTGTGCGATCCCCCGCGGCCAGGCTCGCTCTGTTCTCTGGAATCCTCTCTCCTAACTGTGTCCAGAGGACGCATCAACCGGCTCACCCCCCGCCCCGCCCGCCAAAACCTTCCAGGACATTCTAGCTCCTTCCCACAGGCTGTAACAGCGCCATCCAATAGAAACACAAGGCAAAAGCACACGTGGAATTCTCAGTTGTCCAGTAGCTGCGTCGAAGAAAAAAAATTTAACTTAATAATAGATATTACTGAACCCAACACTTACAAAATATTATCATCGATCAATGTAAAAATGACTGAGATATTTCACACTGTTTTTTTGTAAGTGCTAAATGTTTGAAATCCAGGGAATCTCTCTGTCGTCAGCACTTCTCAATTTGGACGCTACATTTTCAGTGGAGATACCTTGTCTCGTACTTAGATTTCATAGAGTTTACAGTTTAAAAAAAAAGTGCGATCGCATATCCAAATTGCTGCACGTATGCAGGGAAGTTTTGTAAGAACGGGATGGCGTATCTAAGTTAAAAGCTCGGTCCCGGCCGGGCGCGGTGGCTCACGCCTGTAATCCTAGCTCTCTGGGAGGCCGAGGCGGGCGGATTGCTCGAGGTCAGGAGTTCGAAACCAGCCTGAGCAAGAACAAGACCCCCCGTCTCTACTATAAATAGAAAGAAATTAATTGGCCAACTAATATATATAGAAAAAATTAGCCGGGCATGGTGGCGCATGGCTGTAGTCCCAGCTACTCGGG